TTGCAGTTGCCATAATTTTTCCTGCCACCCAGAAAAATATGCTGATTTTGTAACCTAACTAGCAATTACAGACTGCCTAGAAGATATAAAAATGTAGATCCTAGAACACAGCCCCGGTCTGTGAGTGGTGGAGCGTGAATACTGTCCCTGTACCTTATCTCTGCAAAATCACCCTAACATTGCCATTCTCAGCCTCTTACAGGCCTGGGAGAGAGCTAACGTCCACACTCAGCTTCTCAGTTTGCTGCATCTCATTTGGATGAGAGGAATAAATAAATCTTTAGCTGCTAATGTAGCATAATCAGCTGATCTCATGGCATGCTTCCGCTGCTGTTGCAGCAAGCTAGTGTGCCATGGTACGCCCTTTGGGAACGACAACATCAGATCGATTACAAACTGGCTCGCTAACGTATCAAAATGTAGCTATTAACTGGCAAACTGAGAAGATCCCACAGGGATCAGCTGTTGGTTCACTGGAGGCATCTATGAACCTAGATGAAATACAAAGATCTCTGCTGGTAAAGTTTATGGGTGACACAAAGTTCGGTGAAATAGTAAATAATAGCAACTAGTTCCTGTTACAGACTGATCTGATTTTCCTGGTTATCTTCTCACAATCCAACAAAGTTTGTTTGAATGCACTCAAACACTGACGAATGTGCTTGGCAACACAGAATGGGGGGGTGTTATTAAAAGATGGCAGACAGTCTTAGGAAGCAGCAGCTCAGAAAGCATAAGCTATCTTAACTAACCATGTAAACACAACCTCAGCACAGTGGTAGCAGAAGGACTAAGACAATGCAATCAGTAAGGCAATGATCTTGCCTCATAAGCAGCACTGATACAAGGCTAATGTGTCCAGTTTTCATGTCTGTCTGCATCCCCCCCCACGCCTGCTGCATGCCCCAGTGCACTGCACTAGAGCCCTATGCCCAGAATGACACACCATGCCATGTGCCCCCACCACACTGTGCCACACAGAGTCCCCCCCCAGTGTGCATGGCCATGGTCTCCTTTCGCCCTGCCACCACACCCCAAACCTGGGGCAGAGGGAGGGGAGCGTGGGGGGGAGTGCTACCTGGACCAGCAGCCCACAGGCTGCCAGCTAGTCAGCTCTGCAATAGAAAAACTGTAATCCCCCAAAAGATTTTTAGGAAGTGGGGAGGACAGGGATCTGGCCACAACCCCTTTCTTCCAAAGACGCAGAGATGACAGGCTGTCCTGGCAGCTTCTACAACATGACACTGTACGAGGAAACCTCCACTGAATTATGCTGCTGGTTTGCGCTAACAGACCAGTGCAACAAGACTGTATTGCACCACAAAATAAGTACGTATGCCAAGACGTAAATCATAGTTAAATAGCAGTAAAAAACAGCAAAGATTTATAACAACCATGCTGACGAGAGCACAAGGAATGCAAGTGCAGAGGTCTCCTTTTGAAGTTATAGATGGCACTGATGGCCTCTTCCTTCCTTAAAGTATCCTAACAAATAATAAGTAAGTTGCAGCCCTTCCTACAAGGTCAAACATGAAAAATGGGAATGCAATTTCTTACTACTAATATATTTTCTTTCCCTGAGCCTTTCCTTCATATTGCCTACCTGAGCAGACCCAGCAGCATCATTTCTGTTTAAAAAGAAGAGTTTTAAACTTTGATAGATGGCAGGGCAGAGTGACTACTGAGAAAGGATGCTTTTCATCTGGTTACAGTGCACCTCTAGCAACTTTAAATATAGATGAATATAGTAAATTTGGTGTTGACAAATATCATTCACTAGAATGAAGTACTGACTTGTTTGTAGCTTTATTTTATAAAAGCCGAATATATTCTATTTTCAATCCAGGTTGAACATGTGTAAATACAATATAAGGGATAAGGGGAAAAGATTTTTCTTCCTTGGAATGCAAATTAATTTTAGATTCCTGGTCATACAAGAGAGGACATTCCACAGATTTGTTCCCACTGGACAAATTCCTTAGATTTTTTGTTCTGGTAACCAGACAGTCTCCTAAGTTTAAGATACTCCTGTGCCTTTCAGAAGCAATGTCCAGGAACAGAAAACTAGACTGCCCGGCTTTGCTTTTGGTATATCTGATTACAGATAATCAGTAGATTGCTCTTAACTTTTTTTATTTAAAATATTCTCTTGCCTCAAATAAACTTTCTTTGTAGGAAATACTCTTGCAGTATTTACACTGAATACTACAAGACACTTTAAATGCATGGAGAGGAAGGATATGTAACTTCTGTTACTTGGTCTTACTTTATGACCACGGATCCTCTCTCTGTTTAAAAATCGCAAGTTCTCTGATTAAAACCCCGCAAAATCCATGTATTTCCACAATGAAATGCCATTATATATGTAGGTATCAGTTGAACATGATATTTTATTGATAAATTTACTATTTTAAACAATTTGGAAGCCTACCAGTGCTGCAATCACTATAATAAAATAAATTCTAAATACCTATACATTTTGTCATTTGATTTCGAGTTTTTTATCGTGAAATGCCAGAGCTCCCCCTCCCCCTTCACTCACCAGGACAGGGGTCCAGCTGCAGTTGTCACCCCCCCCCACCGACCCACACACTTCTTTGTGGTGCTGAGCACCCTGATTATGCCAGTGCTCTGCCCATGCCATTGCCCCTCACTCCCTACCCACAGCCTGTCACCCCTGCTGGTGCCCCTCACTCCCCACCCACAGCCCCCTTCCCCCCTCAGCCCTGCTGGAGGGGCCCCCAGCTGCCAGAGCTACCAGGCCAGGGACCCAGGTCTGCAGCCCCCTGCCCCCCCGCAGTAGTGCCTGAAATCCTGGCTGCTGCCCGTGGGAGGCACCAGCTGCTGCAGCAGAGCGGAGCAGTGCATGGAGCCCAGCTCCCTGTCCCCCATGGGCAGCACAGAGGGATCCCCACCCTGCTGCCCACCCCCCAGCTGGACCCAGTGCAGCAGGGCAGAGTGGGGCCAGGTGGGGAAGCTCGTGTCGCTGCTGGGAGCTCGGTCCAGTCATGGCAAGGCACCCCCTGCCCTCCTGGCAGCAGCAGGGGGCACAACTCCACACTGCCACCCCCACTGTTGCCAGGTGAACAGGGGGCATCTCGCCATAGCAGCGCAGAGCTCCCAACAGTGGCAACGAGCTTCCATGCCTCACTCTGCCCTGCCATGCTGGGCCCCACCTGCTGGGCTGTAGAGGCCCCGGGGGGAGGGCAGCAGAGTGTAGAGCCCGAGCCCACAGCAGGCAGCCCACCCCATGCACAAATCTGGGGGCACATGTTCCCCCAGGAGTGCGCACAGTGGCAGGGAACCAGCCCAGCTTCCCTCTGACAAAATGCTTATGGCTCCGTCCTGCTCCCTGCCAGGGCCCTGCAGCCACACATTCCAGCCCCAAGCTCCATGCACCGCCCAAACTGGGCAGCAGCCCTAACCCCAGCCCTGCCCAACTCCCTCCCTCCCTCCCTCACTATGGGGGCCTCAGTTCCCCCCTCCAGACTTACCTGCAGGGAGCTGCTCTCCAGGCTGCCTGGCAGCCATGTGCATGTGTACATACGCACATGCACGTGGCGCCCCCTTCAGAAGGGACTCATGAGGTTTATTCTTTTCCTATAGCTAGACAGATGGTTAAAGGAAAATGGCCAATGCAAGCAAGGGAAACTCCTTTCTGGCATTTGCTGTCAAACAGACCACCCCACAGCAAATTTCTCATTCCCCCAGCCCCTTGAAATGAGAAAATCTGGGGTTTACTGAGTTTTTCCGTGGCAAACGGAAAACCTGGATCCCTGTTTATGACTTGCTAAGGTTGTTACTGTAAGAAATTACTGTATAGCGTTCCAGCAAATTCCTTTCTACTGAAGAAGGACAAAAGGTAAGCATTTTTTTTCCTACTCCAAAAGAAACACAACTAATCCTGGATGCCTGCAGCTTGATATATTAGTGATACCAACAGTGTCTTATTGCACATAAAGTACAGACCTTAAAATTAGGTAACTTATGACAAGAAAAGGCTAAATACAGCAGCACCGTTCACCACAGTTATTCTCCATTGTTATTTTCTCTAGGTGAGTGGGTGAAAAGTTTCCCAAAACTTTGGGGTCATATTTTTAAGGTGGCCTGAGGATTGGCCTACAGCCCTTTCCCCATGCTCCTGCCATGACAAGAGAACAGCCATTTAGGTACAGAATCAAGTCAAGCACACTGCCATTTGCACAAAGATATCAGCATGTGTAGGTGCAGCCACAGTTCTCTTTTGAAAATCTGTCCCTTTCAGACTGGAACAGCATCCTTAAGTCTAGGCTACACTTGTTCTACTTGAACTGATTATGGGAGTAAAAGAGTTCATCTTAAAAGGGAGAATCAGTTAAATGAACCAGGAAGCATATAAAGTCTGCACCAAATCCTCTCTGCGTAATTGTGACATTGAGACAGAACCTGGAGAGACTATTGTCTTGGAGATGCCATCGAGCAAATCTGAGATGAGTCTGATTTTGTGAAATTTGAGGTGCTGATGTGTCTTTCCAGTTCATGAGGCAGTATTTCATAGTGGCAAATTCAGAGTAAGTGACTATCATTCACTTGCGTGTGGTCAGATTTAGGCTCACAGATGAATCAAGAATAAACTTAATTACAAATAGCAGGAAATAGTCAACAAATAATTCTCATACATTTTTTCTGGACTTTATCCTCTTGGAACATTCAAATAGTAGTTTTCATTAACAGTATTAAATTATATAATTGATTTACCTCTTATTTTTGTATTTCCTGGATTAAGCAAAATCTAGACCCATAAACAGGTAATAACTGTTGCCGACAGTAAGGAGATTACATGCCTGAAAAAAAGTTTTTATGTATGATATAGATCCCTTACAAAACAAAATAAGAACACTTTCCAGTCTTTGTTAACATTTCTATTATATTCTATTGAAAATATTCTGGTATTTTTAGGGAATTATTTCCATATGCAAGGAAATCAAAATTCTAAAGGTGAGGTTAGTTTTTTCTCTTACCCTCAATCACTGGACAGTACCACAAATACTAAATCTTAAATGTGAGTTCTTGAAGAAGTTCATTCACCAACTTTATAGTCCTTTGGTTTTTTTCTCCAAAATGTTTAAGCCTGTAAGCTGTACGGATAAGACTGGCAAAAATTTCACGGGTTGCATCCCTTGCCTCTGTAATCTGAGGGGGGAAAAGCAATGGGAAAGAGAGGAAATAATCTAAATTAGTTATGTTTCTCAAAGTGCAAGAATTTAACTACATAAAACTACTTTTTTCCTCCACTAACCCTCAGAAACATTTCATTCTCTGTGATCACAGAAGAAACTAAATTCCATAACGTATTCAAAGTTGAAAATAACCCCGTTTCTTAGAAGGAAAGAAGGGTGTATAGAAATCTCAGGGCTGGAACCCAAGATATAACAGAGCAGCTCTTGGCACATAGAGAAGTAATTTTATTCCACCTTTCTGCCTGACTAATCCTCAGTGCTACTCTATCAGCCAAATGCACTGGAGCACATCTCATTCTGGTCCCTACCCCCTCCCCCAATCCTCCCCCCTCCTGCCTCTCACATGCCCCTTCCTCCTCTGCTTCAAAATTCCCCTTTGCTAGGGGGTGGGGAATACAGAAAGAACTAGAATAGCTACACATATACCGGGTCAAGGCTGCCTTCCTAGGGTAACCCTCCGGCAGCTTTAAAGTTTCCCTGTGTTACAAGTGTAGAATGACAAAGGGTCTGGACTTCTGCCTTTTCTTAAAGATTTTGGAGTCGAAACTATCTTTTAACATGTTTAAGTGATCTATGAAGGAAAGGCAGCAGCATAAGACTGGGAAAATAAATAGAACCAAATGGAATATGATGCATGCTTCCAAACATCTTTTACATACCACTCCCCCAAGCTAATGAATAATCAGCCATTTCCTAGCATGCATCCAAGACATCTAGCATATCCTAGCGATTCTTAAAGGAAGTAATATTCTATTTGTTTATTCAGCCTAATACCAGGCAGGAAGAGTAATCAGCAACAAGAAGGTTCCATTTGTTGCAAAATGCATTTCCCCGAGTGTGTCACAGGCCCTTTTACATACACATGGACTACAAAGTATAGTCTGGCAGTGGGAGGGAGATTTTCCAGCCAAAGTGCTAAAGCAAAACTGTAATGTTGGGAAATCTTAACTTGAACTTGCATGCACCGTAACGCTGAACTTTTCTTTCTTCATTTTTTTTGTAGCTGATATTCTAATAGATATCAAACTAGACGGGGGC